GAGTTCATTTAATTTTTGTATTTGCATTTGCAATAATTACCACAATTGGAAGTGTCATTTCTCTGAACTTCTGAAAAAAATGTGTGTTAATAACGGTAAAATGTTTGTCTTAAACTACTGTGAGTACATTTTAATAACGCCAATTCTCCCTTATGATTTGATGGAAATATATATATTAACCTTTGTTTTGGAAATTCCCAAAATGTATCAAGTTTAATTTCGCATTCAGATACTTAGTTTTTCTCTGAAGAGGGATAACTGTGTCATGTTGATCTTTACCAGTGGTACTACAATCTGCCCTGATGGAAGTGATATTTGTTAAGACAACCAGATGGAGAATAAGAAACTTGTTTGTTTCATTTTTCGAATCATTCTCTGTATCACCTTAAAATACAGTATTTGAAGCTTAAATGCGAGCTTATTTCAAATTAGATGTCATTATTTATTCCCTATATATATTTCAATTTTGCAAACTTCACGATGTAACCATGTTGCAAAAATATGTCACGAAAAACCATTAGTGTCATCTTGGCAACATTACACTGTCAATAAAAGGGATTTGCCAGAAAGGAAATTTTTAGGTGCTAAACATGTCGCCTGTGGCGTCACGAATCGTATGTTAGTTATTAAGCGCAAAGCTACATAATAAGCTACATGTGCGAGACAACGCTGTATTAACATCTTGAAATCTTTCAGTTAAAATGCAGTTAACCTTCTGTATAATGCTCTTAAGTTTATATTTGAAATTTTCAGACCTTATTCTTAAATAGCTAACTTACTAAACTAATAGTTTCCCAAGTGATATTTACTAGCTATGTTTAACAAGATCATTTCAAAATTTTGCATTTTAATTAGTTCAATTTAGCAGTTTTATATCATAAGTAGAGAATCTTATTAGTTTTTCTAGTATGATTTTTTTATTGATTATGACATGGTTTTCAGTGGTTTTCTGTTTTGCGAAGTGACATAGGTATTTTATTCTCCACGTAAAGTCGAGACAGCTTAGTCTGCTATATGAACATTAGTCTGATCAACTGATATGTCCATTTCCATCCCTATCTTGTTTGGTTCATTTTTTCAAGTTCATTAGCCAGACTTACATAGCGTTTTTTTTATTTAGCGATATTTTTTTTCTTAATACTTATTTGTTTACTTTTTTTATACGATGGCGAACGTGGATTACGAGGTTATAATGTATTCTGAAGCTTTATAAATTTTACACAGATTAATAATAAAATAGGTAGTCAAAGATCGTGAAGAATTTTGCTCTATCAAATTTTGAAAAAAAATATAGTTACTGCTAGAATTAGTTCGACTTTGAGACGTTCTGAATAGCTAAAAAGCGGCATATACACCGGAGAGAGAGCGACTATGCCAGGTAGTTATCCAGATTTAGCTTCTAATGACCTGTAGATAAGAATATCCAGATGGCTTTAATACGGGCGTCCGTGCCATCCCTACATAGTGCCAGCGCACTCTCCGATATTAAGTTACATTGTGTAGCAATCCTTAACATCAAATTAGCTGGCAAATAAAATGTTTACTTCTTTTTAGTAATTATACCACATTAATGATATAGTTCACCACGTAATTATAGCTTAGGTGTGTTACTAGTGATGAGCTCTAAGACTGTAGTGCAGTAAGCGTTTGTAAATCTGAAGTATAATAATAAAAAACAACAACAACAAATGATAGATAAACGTATGACTACTAAGGATCAACTAAACACGAGTCCAAAAGTGATTGTTAAGGCTATTATAGCCTGAGAGGATTAAGTCTGTGGTTCAGTTGAAGGTCACTGAGTTTTCATCAAACCTATGGTCCAAAAGGAGTCATTATGCTTTTAGATCAGTTGGTGTTATAAAGTCCTTACTTCAGTAGTGGTTACTGAGCCTATAGTCTAGAAAAAATTATGAAGCTGGTATTTAAATTCTTTTGTGAGGTTTAAAGTATTCCTGCTACAAGTACAACATTCGCCTAAAGGCCTTCTAAACACTTTTGGTTTATAATGTTGACAAGAACAAGTCCACTTAAGATATCAGGATCTTATCATTTTCACAATAAAACATCTTTATTTGGGAGATCAGTGTCTCTAAGATCTTTTTCTACTATATATTTTAAATAACTTTACAAAGGAAGATTTTTTGTGTATTAATATTTTGGAACATTATTTAAAAATATTAATTATCAAAGGAAGGATAAAAGCATGTATGAACGTACAAGGAAGCACAGATAGGAAGAAAGTTCTGTTTGGAAAACTAATATTGATGTCTAACATGGGCGTTAGGTGACAATAAATATTGCAACAATTAACTGAACAGCAGTTACAGATCCCACCAGCCTAGCTCATCCAAAATACACTGTTCTGAAACGTTTGTCATGTAGGATTTTTTTTTTAAATATGCTTCATATATTTGCCAAACACAAAAGCGTTGAATTCTACTGCTTTACACACGTAAGTTAATTCACATGTGCTACAATGTATAACGACACAAAAAATAACAACCACCTGCAAAACTTAAATATGATGTAGGGATGGTAATGCCAAAAATACAGAAACAAGGTAGGGATGAATACACAAAATCAAATATGAATCCCTATATAAGTAGCCAGTAAGTACTGAGTCAATCTTGCAACCTAATGGTTATTAGCTACTGTAAGACTTTATAGCACCATTCAGTTTAAATGCTTTTATTCAAACCTAAATTCATGCACTGACTCTGACATGAATTAAACACTTAGTTATAGATAAGTTATTCTTGGAAACCCATTGAGGTAGATTCCTGTACGTGGTGAGTGGACCGTCGACAGCGCTCCATTATGGGCCAACTCATTTGACTTGAGACCTTGATCAGGTAAGCCTTCCTCAAGCGGGAACATCGTGTTTTAGATCTTGGAAAGGCTTATGACACAACGTGGAGGTATGGCAACTCATATGGGTTGCGTGGCCATCTACCCATTTTTATTTAGAACTTTTTATTCGACAGGCGATTTCAAGTCCGTGTGTGTTTGACACTTTCCCATTCTTACATACAGGAACATGGAGTCTCTCAGTGCTATCTTGAGTGTCACACTTTTCAATATAAAGATTAATGCTATCACTAGACAACTTCCTCTAACTGTTATAAATGGCCTTTGTGTCGACGATTTCCACATTTTTTGTTCATTGTCAGACTGCTCTCACTCACTTGTTGAGGGGAGCGTTAGCAAACGGTTTCACATTTTCTTTTTCTAAAACCTTTTGCATTCATTTTTGCTGCCAACGAGGATTACGCCCTCATCCTGAGCTTAATCTCAGTTGTGTTCTTCTTCCTGTGGTTCCTGAAACAAGGTTCTTGGGGTTTCTGTTTCACTGCAAGATGACTTTTATTTCTCATATTAAGCACCTTTGTGTCAAGTGTACTTGGGCACTGAACATCCTCCATGTTTTCTCTTCCACTTCTTGGAGAGCAGATCGATGTTCTATGCTCAAGATCTGTCTTGCCCTCATATGATCCAAACTGGTCTCTGGTTTTGCCAGGCCTTCTGTGTTGGCTTTGCATGGGGGGCTTTCTGCACTTCTCCAGTCCAGATTTTGTACAGTGAGTCCCATGAACCTCCTATTCACCTCAAACTTTTGCAACTTTCCTTGCTTTATGCCAACAAACTTCAATCCTTATGACGGCATCCTACTTTGTCTTCCTTCCTCAATGGGCTTTGTATTTTCAGAATCGGAAGTCAGCTATTACTCCATTTGGCCTTTGTATCAGGTGCACTTGGTTGACTTTGATACTTCTGATTTGGAAATACTGTTTTCTCTTTGCTGAATATAATTTGAACCAATCTTTTGGCACCATAAAGCCCCAAAACAACCAACCAATCTTATGCTCCCGTTTTTTTATGGATAATTCGCAATCTGGTGAGTCTGAGGGCTCTACCATGGTTTCTTATGGCTCAATGACTACTTATACGATCCCATCTACAGATTCTGTGTTCACTGCAGAGTTGTATGTAATTTCACTTGCCTTGAATCATGTTAAAGCTAAGTAGTACACTAATTGTACTATCTATACTGATTTGCTTACCTCTTTAATAGCCCTGGAAGTGCTTAACGTGAGTTCTCACCCAGTTCTTTTGGATATTTAGAAACGATTGGCCCAATTTTCTTTGTCATCAATTTCTAACAACTTTTTCTGGTTTCCTGGTCATTTGAGTATCCATAGGAATGAAGATGCCGACACCACAGCTAAATCCGTTTGCTTTGGCGTTGTCACAGCCCTGACTGTCCCTTATGTGGACTTCAGCTCCATCATCAAAGCAATGCTTTATGCCAGTTGACAGTCAATTTGGAGTGAGCAACTTCATAAGCATTTCCAAATAAAGCCTACCGTTGTTTTTTGGCCATCTATTTTCCATCAAGCTCGGACAAAGGGATTTGTCTTGTCTAGGCTACATATTGGCAACAGTGTCATTACTCGTCGTTTCCTTTTACAAGAGACTGATCCACAAATGTGTGGTCTTTGTGACACTCAAGTCACGATGCCCACATTTTACTTTCATGCCATCGTTACGACTGCGAACGGCAGCACCATTTTAGGCGTGTTTTTTCTCGAGGTTTAATCCCGACGTTTGACAGTGTCGTTTGCGATGGTGACACTGTCCAGATTAATTGTCTTTCTAACTTATTGGGGTCTATTGACCTTATGATTTCTATGTAATTTTCAACCTCATTTCCGGGCTGTATTCTGTTTTAGGTTGATTTTATTTATTTATTTTTTGTTTTACGTTTTCCCGTATTTTATTGATGCTGTTAATAGTAAATAATAATATTTTTTTGTTAAGGGTTAATACCGGTTGTTTGGCGCCATTAAACTCCAAACAACCAACCAGCCTTATGAAAGCATTAACTGCATTACACCAAAGAAGCCTAAAAATAGGGAATATAAATATTTTACCTCCAGTTTACTTTACAATCATCCCGATTCCTGGATTTATTACACAGTTGTAATTCTCAAACATTTTATTCACATCGAAATAAATACAAATATTTTGAATCCAACATTTAAAACTACATAACACTTTTCTTCGGTCTTTGTACTCTGTAAATGGACAAAAATTGAGAATTTCTTAGTACTTATGCACTAAGATCTATATACATTTAAAGAAAATTTTTCTTACACGTAGTTAAAGAGCTACTAACAATTACGAACATTTATCTGGCCTTAAAGTAACTTATAATGAACACTAAAATTATTTTCTAAAAGTTACCAATGCTTTTTTAAAATGGTTGAAGTGTACATAATACTTCATGAAATGTGATGTCAAGCATGAAGAGGTGCTTGAAAACTACATTTAAAAAACCATTTTGCATTATTCACACATTTCATGTTGATGTTCTAACCTGAAACAAGGAAACACACGAACAAACTTTAGATCAGCATTTATCTTCTTTTCAGAGCAGAAATAATTACTCTTAGGCTGTGGGTATAAGTAACAACTGAGATACTTATGAGGTTATAAAAGTTTAATAAATACTAACCATGATAAATACACCATATCCCGATAAGTCATTTTGCTTTATTATTATACTATCTATTATAAACATTTTAAAAGGATCACGACGAACAGAAACTTTATATCAAACTCAAAACAAATTTTAGAGTTTAACCTGGAACTATTTTTATGGTTTCATTAGTTTACTAACTACGTAAAAACATAATTAAGTATGATCTTATTGCTTCGATACACACATACTTAATCCTTTTTTAAACTGTCATATTTCAATCATAGAACATCAATAATTGCAACTTTCTTTATTCCAAAAAACTGAAAATGAAAGAATATTGTTTTTGTAACAAATCAACGTTCGAAATTATAGCGTGTTCAAAAATAGATACACGTATGTTTTAAAAGTACGTATCAATAACAATTCTAAAACATCGAACTTGCAAAATGCTTAGAAATCAACTTATATCGATAAATGTATACAGTTTCTATGTTTTATCATATTACAAAAGTTAAGATTTTACGGAACCAATTGACAACGAGTTTTTATAACGTTTAATTGTAACTTCATTAACATTAACCATTTATTGCCTTAAGCTATGTCCTGACTCAGCTAAGCTTCAATAATTTTATGTTAATTGAATTGGTAGTTTTACCATTCTTTGGTGTTTGTAACTGCATAATGATTTTGAAATAGTCTCCTATTCGTGCTATTTGTTTACTGTCTGTTAACTAAAGTAGTGAATAAAAACTTTGATATAACATTTATGTAAACATAACTGTGCGTATATTGAATAAGATTCCGATTATTACAAAAAACAGAATTAAGTCTCTTCAGTGTTTATTGAATAGAAAAAAAAATGAGTGTTCATATCAATGTATTGTAGACAAAGATGATCGACATAGTGGTCCGACACCCTTACCTATTTTATGCATTATATCAATACAACTTTATGAACACAAACAAAGCATAACGATAAGACAACAAAGCAACATCTCAAAACTAGCATGAGTTTGTACGAAATGTAACGCGATGTTAAAACTAGCATGAGTGTGTACAATCTAATGTGATGTCAAAACATGAGTTTTTGTATCCCTCAAGATATATAGTTATTGTACAAATTTCGGCTAGCTTATAAATGTATTTCGTGAAATTTTTTTACACAAACATAGATTTTGACGCTAACATGTTCGTGTACATTAGTTGACATTAAATGTTGCAAAAATTAACTGAACAGCCGTTACAGATCTCATTAGCCTAGTTTATCCGATATGTAAATACGTTGTTCTGGGAATTGTTGTATATTTTTTTCTTTTTTTACACTCCGATTCATATATTTTCCATACACAAGAGCGCTTAACGCTACTGTTTTACATACGTAAGTTAATTAACGTGTTATAACGTGATGTTATAACAGTTGTGACTTTTTTTTTTGTCTTAATCTGTATTTATACTAAGACAAGTTTTATTATTTATTTTCCTACTATTTACTTATATTACTTTGGGCATTTTACTGCTATTTAGCATTTCAAATTTCATAATAACACTGATAAGGCACTTATTTATTCTATTGTGTTAAAACCAAGAAAGCCCGTTTTTAGTTATTGATGTACAGTCTATTTAGAATATTTACCTAACATCAACGTTAACCACACTATTAAGACTAAAATTTTTGATATAACACTTCTAAATATCTATTAAGATAAATTCCAATATTTGCTTTCAATGTACATGAATGTGCGTATATTCAAATTTTCTGATTATGGCAAATGACAAAATCAGATCTTTTCGTCTTTCAAATGACATACGATATCCGTGAAAAAAGTTTAATGTAATGTTCTCTTTTACTGCTTGCTTCTCTATTTAGATAAAATGCTCACTCTAATAAGTTATAGATACAAACCCTTAAGGTGCGAATGAACTGAACGTGTCCTGTAATGTGAAAAAGAAAATAACAGATATACAGTGTATAAATACAACAGAAATCTCAGCCAATAAATTACTTGCTACATAAAAACATTACGAGGCTTAAAAATACTTACGAAACAGTAAAATAAAAAGACATGTTAGTAAAAATATATCCAACAAAAAGAGAACACTTCAACGAGCGCCACTTCCTTTCTGAAAATCCAGCGAAAAAATACTGACATCGGTGAGTTGATGTGTTCATTCTTTACATACAACTTTACAGCCTCCCAGGAGTTCCAGGCTTTGTCATAACAAAATACCATTTTTCTAATGTCTTTTTCTGATCTTGAATATTTTTTTAAATGTCTACCATAAAATATTTCTTTATTTTTTTCGTTTCAATGCACCAAATACCATAACACACTTAGTTTTGTATTGTTTGTCGAGTATAGTTCTGCTCTTCTTTGCATGGAGTTAAATTTAATTTGATTTTTTATTCAGTCTCCTCCTACATACAAATTAATTTGGATGTGTTTACTTTTGCTGCTGTGATCTGCATAAAGCTTCTTTTTTTTTTTCAGTCCCACAAGTCGAAGAAAGCGACACAATTAACAGCTTTCTGAAAAACCTAATTTACGTCAAAATAAAAGTTTCTACAGTGTAGGCCTGCTGACTAGCATAAACAGATTGACGGAAAATCTTATTATTTTAAAGATTAAAACCATCACTGGTTTCTTCTTCGGAATCAAACATGTCCATGTCAGAAGAAGAGCAACTTGAAGGAGGTGTCTCCAGCACAGGGAAGGGCATATTCAGATCCATGTATTCCTATAAAATCACGATAATAATTAATTATTTACAGCACTGTTTATGTAGATGTACTAATAATAGAACAATAACTAAAAATATCTTACTTTCGTCATGAAGTCAGCACATTCATAAAAATAATTCATTTTAAGGTGTGAAAATCAAAACAAAAGAAAGTCGAAAGTGCTTATTTGTATTTTCCAATATCAAAGTCTGATTTAGAGCTTTAATTAAAATAAGACGTACTAAATTATAAAGCACAAATTACTCTTATCTTGCCTTGCATGACGCTAAAAGAACATTTATTTCGTGGAAATGAGATTTAAAAAAAGTAAAAGGTAATTAGGATCATTGATAGAAAAAAAAAACAATTTGACCAATGCACATTTTCCTTGCTAAGCCTTCTCTATACTCAACATACGATCGTATATCCGTGTAGTATCTATACAGTTGTCTTTACAATTGTGATCCTAGTGCTAAAATATTTTAATAATGGATAATTGGAATAAAAATACAATCCAAATATCTCTTTTTCTAGAAGTTTTCTGAATAAAAGATGACACAAATTTAATACGTGCATTTTTCATTATAATTGAAATCTTTACACTTCCAAGAAAGATTTTATGTCAAACATTTTAAAAAGTTCAAAGAACTGCAATTCTTTGATTAAAATATTCCCTTTTCTTTTTAAAAGATTTTGCTACATGAATCTAAATAGCAGAGTAATAATTGTAACACATTTTTATAGGTAAAAATAAAATCGAGTATTTATAACAGTTGAGTTTCAGGTGTAAAAATACGCGACTGATAGTTTTTGGAATCGTGCTTTTCATGTGAATGAGCTTATGGTATATATTAATAAATTCAACAATGCGTTCAACCACACGTGTAAAAAATACTGTTTGTAAAAAAACAAAATAATTTAGATGATATATTATTCTTATTTGCAAATATTTAGTAACCAACAAAAGATATTTTTAAAAGATACTTAACTCTTGGCATAATCTCACCTGTTCAGATGAAATAGTCAAGATACGGTCCAAATCTTCTACTAGCTCTGAGAATGTTGGTCTCTGCTGAGCAGAATTTTGCCAACACTCACGCATAATCATGTATCTGAAAGACGAAAAAAAAAAGATAAACGTAGTCTGTTATATTAAGGCTGGTATATGATAGTAAACACCACAAACGTTATTAATCAAAGTTTGTATACCATAGTATATACAACAAATAACTCAAAAGCGCCCCATCTATATCTATATGTAGAGCTTGTGTTGAATCAAACTTCCTTAAAACATAAATAATGGAGACACTTTTTCTAGTTATCTGAAAATCAGTTTCCATTAAAAAACAAACAAACTTTATTTCTTTACTCTATATTCTGAGTATAGATATTATTTTTAGGTTCTAACTGAATATAAGATTCCAATTTAGAGAGATTACTGTAACTTACATTTCAAGAGTACAGTTCTGGGGCTTCTCCATTCTGTGTCCGTCTCTCAACAAGTGAAAAAGCTTCTCGATGGGAATTGATGGATAAGGTGTTCCTCCAAGGGTCATTATTTCCCACACCAATACACCATAAGACCACCTATAAGTGATTTGTATTATAAATTCATTTTACAGAATTACATCCGTGAAAAATGTTTCATTGTAAAATCTAAATGCACTTGTCAACAAGGTTTCATAAAATGAAAACATTTCAAATTAATCTTTCATTGTTGCATGTATATATTATTTTTCTTTCCCTGGTGTGTTTCATGAATTTTTAAATTTTTCTACGTTATTTTTTATTCAGGGAAAAGCTAAGAGATAAACACATGTTTAGCGTACGATGTATATACTAAAATTACATGACTACTGAAAACTGGTTAGGAAAATGCAGTCTTCTGACACGGTTTATAAACTTGTAAATCATTCATTGCCGGTGATCGCTAGATTCGGATCAATTAAGAATTAACTTTGTGAGGTGTAGAAGCGATGCGGTAAGTTGCATTGCTCTTCGTATGTTAGTGAATTTCAAACGATATAATATTATGAAAGTGTTAGTAAGTGCTCTAAATATATAGTTTATTATTAATTAAACTCCTATTTTTTTGGAAAATTTCTAAATTTTACATTATATTATTATTATTATTATACCTTTTCAACAACAAATTTGTTTTTATATTAAGGGGGCATCAAATTTTTTGAGCTGTCGAGGTGGGGCATGGAGCAAAAAAGGTTAAGAAACACTGCTGTAGAGCATCGAAAATGAAGTTGTGACAGTGACTACTTGCCGTAGAATACATAGCAAATAAACTCGTGCTTCACTTACTAAGCGGTTTTAAACTTTAGGCCTACCGTATTTGCCGGTGTACAAGACGACCCTGTATTTCTTTGAAGTTCGGTGTATTGGACGACCTCTGTTATCAAGCAAGTCTACGATGTTATTTTTGTAAAAACATTCTTAGAAGTAATTTTTGAACTGTGCTAACCTGTATTCTAGGTTTTTTTTATGTTTTTCAAACAGCTTAATGCAGCATAATTTAAGTCACAAACATATAATAAACAACTTTCCAAAGTTTTCACCACAGTTGAATTCCCTTTCTATTACCAAAAAACAAAAAAAATAAACCTCAAGATATAGTGATGTACTATAAGAACATGTTTATAAAATTAGTGTATGTCACAGAAACTAACCTTTTTTGATATAATATTAGCAATATTTTACTATGATTGATGAGATCAATACAATTTAAATAGAAAATGCCTTGATTAATTGTAACTAACATGCAAAATAAATAATTTCTAGTTATGAAGAATCCAGGCAAATGATACAATTACAAATAAGTTATTGTAACGCAGTATGTGACATGATGTCAACGAACCTACTCAAAAAAAACAAACAAAAGTAAACGGAACATCGTAGTTTTGGTTAAATATGCTATTAACCAGATCTTTGAACCTGTGTATAAGACAAAGGGTAAAAATCGAGCACTGTTTTAATTAAAAGTAAAAAGTACCGTTTTATACACCGGCAAATACGGTAATTGTCGATTTTCAGGCATCTATTGGTATTTGAATTGAGATAAAATGGTGTTACGTTATTTATAAGCCAATGAAAGGTAAAGAATTAAGTTAATGTGTTTCCTTGCGTGTTTATTAATGTTACTAACATAATTGTCTTTAAATTTAATATCATAAATGTCGTAGTCTTGCACTCGTATAAAAGTGCCACTCTACAATTAGTCAATAGAAATATCGGTTTCTTTGTGAGGTAGCAAACATACACGCACTATCTGATTGACACAAAAATAGATGTGCACATTGTAAGAATTTTTATAACATAATGGTGTATACAGTTATGAATTAAAAATAAAGAAAGTAATAATTACTTTACTACATTGTCCCCTGATGGGACAGCAGTACGATTACAGGGCTATAACGCTAAAATTGCGGTAGACACAGCAGATAACCCAATGTGGTTTTGCTCAAAAACAAACAAAATTCAACACTATACTTGTATTACTAAAGAAGAGAACAGAAATGAAAATATTCCAAATTATTATTATTTTTTTTTTTATGATGTGTTTTAAGTCTTAAAAATGCCAAAAAAGAAAAACACCAACTTACACATCACTCTGACTCGTGTACACTCTATCAAATAAAGCTTCTGGTGCCATCCATTTAACAGGTAGTCGGCCCTGACGGAGAAAGTGTTATGAGAATGTATGTATGTATGTAATGTTTATCTAGGTCTAACTGACAGAGAATAAAAGACGTACACACTTAAGTGCACTCAAAAGACAAAAACAAACATTCTGGTTCTCAGTATTTCTTGACAGCTTTAATAAATATTTAACACACTTTATTCAAAATGAATTTAATGTTACAATATTGTCTGTATATTTTACTTTGAAAATTTTCAATTTAAGAAAATAACAATTGCTGCATTTTATTACAAATAATTATTACTTGTTAATTACTTGATGTATGTTCTGTATATAAGAACCTAAAATAAAGCGAACACCTACGTCAGTAGTCTTCTTATAATAGTCGATATTGTTAACATCTCGAGCAAGTCCAAAGTCTGCTATCTTCATCACTTTGTCTTCCGTTACGAGTACATTACGTGCTGCCAAGTCTCGATGAATACACTGAATATTTACAACAAATGTAGAAATGTATTGGTGGTCAAATGATTTCAAAAGTAAAAGGAAAGAAATATTTTGTTATCCCAAACAATCTAACTGAAATTAGCACAGTGCATTTATAATATTTTTAACAGTAATTTTGTTACTATAACAACAAACAATTTAGTTTAACATTTTGCTTTATGTAATAATGTTGTATTCCCAAGTAAAACTATAATAAACGGGTAAATTAAAAGTACCAACAACAATTATGGCTGTTAGTAAATGTTTACGAAGTGTTATTAAGCTTAAGTAAGACAAAAGAAACAAATATACAACATAGAGTATTTTAATTCTCAACTTTGATTCCTCAACTGCCGATTAAGAAGGTTAAGATGATATTGAATAATAATGTTACCCCCAGGTATACCCACCCATGTTAGTCTACGAGGAGTATTCCCCTAAATTTGATGCGTTCCGCCGAATGTTTGGTGATGAGCAACTTGTCCAACAAGTTGTCTCTCCTGCCTCTCTTGCTCTTCTTCCAGCTGTTTTTAACCGGATCTCGCAGGAGAACGTCTTTCCTGATACGTGGCTATTTAATTCTTTTATCTGTTATTTGGACATGTTTTGGTTTTAACTCATTTTATTTTTACATCTTACTACAATTTACCTTTACTGTTTTTACCAGTTGGTTGGCGAGATAGCCTGGTTGCTTTGCGCCATAAAACACCAACCAAACAACCAACCAACCTGATACGTGGCGCAAGGCTATTGTTCTACCTTTTTCGAAGCCTGGGAAGGATTCCAAGATTCCATCTTATTATCGTCAAATTGCTTTGGGTAGCTGTCTCTGTAAAGTCTTAGAGCGGATGGTTAATGATTGTCTTGTTTGATTCCTTGTTTGCAACTTTATTTACATATATGCTACCTACCTTTGATCCTTACCACAGCATCCCACTTGGGGTTGGGCGTTTCTTCCTCAGTGGGCTATGCTCTTTCAGAATAGATGGTCTACCATTCCTCCTTTTGGTCTTCATATCCAGGCACAGTTGGCTGAATTGGGTCTGGCATTGGATGACGTTGCTGTCCCCAATAATCAGCCCATTCCACCATGGCTTATTACCATCTCCTAATGTGACTTTTCCTTGAGTCATCTGAGGAAGGCAGATACTCCCGATTGGAAGTACCATTTTTCGAACCATCCTTTTATTCTCGTTTATACGGATGGTTCAAACTCGGGTGACTGTAGTCTCAGCCAAGGCTTTTTTGTGGCTCGGTAGTTGCTCACAGGCTCCCCTCTACAGTTTCTACGTTCGCTGCCGGGTTATATGCCATTTCTCGTGCCCTGGATCATGCAAAAGCTAAGCACTACATCGATTGTACTATTTATACTGACTGTCAGCTCTCTGCTGGCCCCGGAATCTCTTAACGTTAGTTCTCACCCTTTTTTCGTCGATATTCAACAATTTTTCTCTATCTTCTGTTTCCATCCAGTTTTTCTGGATACCTGGACACGTCGGTGTTCGCGGGAACGAGCTCGCTGACACTGCATCTAAGTCAGTCTGCTCTGGTGCCGTCAGAGCTGTGCTTGTCCCATATATCGACTACGGTCCTGTATTAAAGGCTCGGCTTATCGCCAATTGGCAGTCGGCTTGAGCGAACAACGTCATAATAATATTTTCCACATTAAACCAACTGTTACTCTCTGGCAGTCTTGTCTCCATGAGGATCGAAAGTAGGAAGTTGTTTTGACTAGGCTACAAACTGGTCATTAGTTTTTTTTTTTTAACTTATCATTTTCTTTTATCTGGTAATGACCCACCAACGTGTAGCCTTTGTGACACTCGAGTTAGAATAGCCCACATTTTACTGTCGTGCCGTTGTTACGACCGTGAGCGGCGGCACCATTTTAGACATTGGCGATGGTGATGACACTGTCCAACTTGACTGTTTGTTTTTAGCTATTTGCGGGTTTTAGCCCTTTTAATACTATTTAAATGTTTTTACTTGATTTTCGAACTCTTTTTAGTTTTTAACTTAATTTCTTTTTACATTTTATAATATTTTACTTTTGAAATTTTTACCGGTTGTTTGGCGCAGATAGCCTCGTTGCTTTGCGCCATTAAACGGCAACCACTCAACCAACTATCCCGCCATGGCTCGTTACCACTCCGACCTGTGACATTTCCTTGAATCATCTGAAGAAGTTGGATACTCCCGATTAGGAGTAGAGTCTTCTCTTTGCCGAAGATCTTTCGAACAATTCTTTTGTTCCCGTTTTCACGGATGGTTCGAAATCAGGTGACTGTGGGCTCTGCCATGGTTAGTTGTGGCTCGGTAGTTGCTCACAGGATCCCCTCTACAGTTTCTGTGTTCACTGCCGAGTTATAGGCCATTTCTCTTGCCCTGGATCACGTAGAAGCTAAGCGGTACACTAACTGTACTATATACATGGACTCTCTTAGCTCTCTATTGACCCTGTCAGTTCTCACCCTGTTCTCGTCGCTATTGAGAAACGACTGGCCTACTATTCACTGTCTTCCATTTCTATCCGATTTTTCTGGATACCTGGCCATGTGGATATTCACGGGAACGAGCTTGTCCGTCTGCTCTGGCGCGATCACAGACTTGCCTGTCCAAGGCCCGGCATTGCGCAGTTGGCAATTGATCTGGAGTGAACAGCTTGATAACGAGCTTTTACAGATCAAACTTTGTTACTTTTTGGCCATCTAGTTTATGTAAAGATCGACGGGAGGAAGTTTGTCTTGTATAAGCCACGCATTGGCCGATGTGTAGCCTTTGAGATACGAAAGCCATTACTACCCACGTTTTACTTTCGTACCGTCGTTACGAGTGTGAGCGGCGGCACCATTTTAGACATGTATTATCTAAGGGTTTACCCCTGACGTTGGACTGTGTCATTGGCGATGGTGCCACTGTCCATCTTGATTGTGTTTTTAGCTTTATTGCGGGCCATTGGTCCTTTTACTTCTATTTAAATTTTTACATAATTTTAGACATTTTTTCGATTTTAACTTTTTTTTCATGGTATTTTATTTTTGTTTTTATACCGGTTGTTTGGCAGATACCCTAGTTGCTTTGCACCAATAAACGCCAACCAACACTGAAACTTTTGAACGTTTTTACTTTAGCTTAGTCAGGGCTAAAGTTTTCCCATACTTAACACTATCAATAAATAAACTTATGTTATTCTACGACCTAACGTTAGACTTTTTTAAAAACTTTAAACTTTTAATATAATGTTGTTGTACAAGATGTATACTAAAGTATATTTACATCCGCCTTTTGTTTATATTTGATGGTACGGTGCTCGTGCATTTTAGGACAGACAAAAACATTATTATTATTATTATTATTATAATAGATACACGCTAGCAACTACTCATAGATCCAACATGAATGCAATAGTAGGTTCATGAAGAGGACAAACAGGTGTGCTTACCTTTCTTGAAACTAAGTATTCCATGCCACGAGCCACCTGATAAGAAAAGGAAATCAAATCTTTCTGTGTGAGAGTCTTTGGTTTCAAGTCAATCCCAATGGCTCGTTCATACCCTGAGCTAGGTCGATGAGCTCGTAGAAAGTCTCGCAAGTTTCCATTTGGTGCATATTCCACAATAACATACAGTGGTCCTAAATAAATCAGAGCGGTTTGCCATGAGGTTTTGTAAGCATTATAGCTTCAAGTTCAAAATGTTCCCATCTATAATACTTCTCTTCTGTCTTACAGATCATTTGAAAACATTATAACATCTTTAGCTGACCAGTACAGAAGAAAGCCGCTCACAAGACTACAGAATCAACAGCAGCTGGGTTATCAAATCAGGTGAAATTTGAGATATTCTTTTTACTTTCCAAAATCCAAAATGTATTTAAATCTATGTGAACAATGGATCGAAACACGCGGTTGAACTACCTTATTAGTTTATATCCCCAACATAACAAACAAATGTTCCTTATTTAGAGGTAATTGCCGATTTTGTCAGTAAAGTTAGTTAGTAAGGAACTAATGATTTACAAAAGTCAATTTTATAATCAATAGCTCAAATATTACAGTCTAGAACATTTATAAGGATAGATAGGATATAACAATTAATAGTGGATGTACAAGATAGCAAAGAATGTCACTTACCGTCTTGGGTGCAACATCCTAACAAGTTGATAATGTTCACATGTTTCCCGATCATCTTCATGACTTCCATCTCTGATACCAAATCAGCTAGCTCCTGATCAGTGTGACCATCTTTGAGAAATAAGTCATATATGTAATTTTTTTCTCTCTCTCTGGAAACCACCGAAATTTAGGTTGATAACCAAATTTGAAAATATTTAAAATTTACTTTCTATTATCACATTTTAAAACAAATAAAAAAATTTCCAATGTTACATGCTAAAGGCTGAAAATATACAACTTTTTTTAAATATTTCATACATCTCATTTGGTACTGATTTATTTATATATTTTTAATAAACACAATTAAGTTGATATACGAGCTTCGTATATAAAACTGTTCTTCTCGAAATATGTTAGCTTCTAGAGAACAATCTTTTGTCTACCTTTCAGCATCTTTACGGCTACTATTGCAGGACCTTCCTTATCTGTTAGCCCATATGCATCTCCTTTCCTAACTTGTCCAAAAGCGCCTGCACCAAGAGTTGTGCCAAGTACCAGCCTGTAAAATAAAAAAAAGCAAAGGATATGCACCTCAAAAAATAAAACATCATAATCCTTTTGATAATGAACAATAAACACATTAGTCTTGTACCAATCAAGTTTGGGCAAAAATATCATAATGCGATATGACAAAGTAATTTGTTTTACCAAAGTCTCAACAGAACTGTTTCTGAACCTCTGAGAAGTATTAATGGTTTAATACATTACAGACTTTTACCAATGTTCATGGCATCGTGCCTAAAGTGGGATTTTGATGAAAACATTACGCAGTAAAAATACATATATTTTAAGAGTGTTGAAAGAGTACATCTTAAGTTAAAAGTAACAAAACAAACATTTCTATCAACATTTTCGTCGTAAACTTCTATAATGAATACATTTTGATAATGCCAATTCTCAATTAAGGTCTGATTGAAAGAATTCACCAACCTTTCTCTTGGAAATTCCCACAATGGATCAGGTGTAATTTCATATTCAGATACTGAGTTTTTTTCTGAAGAGGGATAACTGTGTGTGATGTCAATCTTTACCAGTGGTGCTAAAGACTGCCCTGATGTGTCCGATTCCTATGGAAGACACATATTTGTTAAGACAACCAGTTAGATAATAAAAACTAGTTTATTTCATTGCTCTAATCACTTTATGTAGCACCTTAATATACAATATTTGAAGCCTAAATAATAGTACCAGTTTCAGATTGGAGTAAAACAAGTTAATTCCATAGTCACAAGTCTCGATTTTTTTTGTTGTTTCAATTTAGCAATTTAATACTAAAAGTAGAAAAATCTTACTGGTTTTTCTAGTACAACTTTCTTCTTGATGATGACATGGTTTTGAGTGGCTATTAGATTGACTTTGTTTTTCTGTTGCTTTGCCAGTTGATATCGGCATAAGACAACTCCAAGTAAGATCACTACCAGTATACTTGTGAACACGACAACTAAAATCATCCATGGAACTGGAGAAACCTCATTCTGTATACTTTCTTCCACTTTTTCAGGCCCTAAATTCATAAATGCATAACATGATTTCTTGTGAATACTTTATAATCCTAATCACATATTAAGCTCCATTTTGTGGCAATCTTTAACAGCAAATTAGCCATGCAAATAAGAGTTTACTTCTTTCAGTAATTATACCATATTAATTATTTATTTCATCACGTAACCACAGCTTAGAGGTTTTACTAGTAATGTGCTCTAAGACTGTAATTCGCTAGGTGTTTGTAAGTCTAAAGTATAATAAGAAACATAAGTTTCTGGTCCAGTAGAGGTCACTACTGTATCTGGTCTAGTAATGGTCGATAAACATATGACCACTTTGATCAACTAAACACAAGGGTCCAATAACGACTTTTAGTCCTATTATAGTCTGTGAGGGTTAAGTTTATGGTTCATTTGAAGGTAACCAATTCTTTGGGTCAGTAGTGATCAAATCTATGGTCCAAAAGGAGCTATTATGCTTGTAGTCCAGTTCGGGTTAAGACGTTCTTACTTCAGTTGTGGTTAATGAGCCTATAGTCCAGCAAGGTTATTAAGCCTGTACTTAAAGCATGCTGTGAGGTTTAAAGTACTCCTGTTACAAGTTTATCACCCGCTTAAAAGCCTTCTGTACACTTTTGGTTTATAATGTTGACAAGAACATGCTCACTTGTGATATGAGGATCTCATTTTTTTCACAATAAAACTTTACTTGGTAGATCAGTGTCTCCAAGATCTTTCTCTGCTATATGTTTTAAATAAATTTACAAAAGGAAGAGTTTTTATGTATTTTGGAACATTATCTAAACAAATGCTACTTATGAAAGGATAAAAACAGAGATATGAACGTACACGGAAGCACAGAAAGGAAAACAGTTCTGTTTGAAAAACCAATATAATTCCAAGCAAGACAGGCGTACCACCCTTCATCCTCTTCTGTCACATTATCTATGACCAGTAGTTGAGGATCGGTGACATTGGGATTAGTACTCTGCAAAAGACACATTGAATAATTAAATAAACCACATATTAAAAAATGTTTAACTTCGTAATCGTGTTTTATAAACTTCAAACACGTGCATTATTCATACAAATCTAGCACAGCTAAAAAAAATTAAATAACTGAACTACGAGTATTATAAACTGTTTTCATCACTCTAAATTGCCTTAGAAAACAAGACCAACAAGTTGTTTAAGATGTTGCTTCTAATCTACAGACAATGACGCGAAACTACAGATTAAAAAAACAACAACAACAAACAAACTTTGTTTTCTAGTATGGCCAATTTGAGCTTCACTTAACTGAAGGGGTCAGGGAACAGATATGTGTGTGTGTGTGTGTGTGTGTGTGTGTGTGTGTGTGTGTGTGTGTGTGTGTGTGTGTGTGTGTGTGTGTGTGTGTGTTCGTTCTCACTACGTACCGAACGTCCTAGAGTATAGTATACGTACGTACCGGTACCTACCTACG